GGGTAATGAAACATCTGCAAGAAAAAGACCTAGCTCAGGGAGCACCAAGGACCCCTCATTTCAACCTGGAGCTACAAATATCCTCTTTTATTGGTACAGTAGTAACTTGTGACAGTTGTAAAGTGGGTCGCCATGTGACTGGACCCATTTTTATGACTTTTTTGGTGACATTAAGGGAATGCCATGGTCGTTAAGCAAATCCATTGTTTGCTATGGGCTGGTTTTTGTGGGAAACCAAAAGTAAACGCTGGTTTCCAGCAAAAACATAAATTGTGGTCACAGGATGCTACATCCAGGTGTAAATGTTCGGGCTAGTTGCCAAAGATTCAAAATGTAGTCGTGTGACTGGGGGGCAACATCAGAACATTAAAACTGGGTCATAAGTCCCTTTGGGGAGGTTCCGTCATAACTTTGAATGATCACTATGTGACTGGTCATAAGTGAGGAGTATTTGTATTGCAAGGACTCGCTTTTGAGAAGAGTAAAGTAAGTTAAAAAAAAACCAGACTATTTGCTTTAAATTCTACCATAGGAAACAGTTTACAAAATCTTCATCTCCCAATGCTTTTAAACCAAAATATGGATTCCTTCATATTTGTTCAGATTTCAGATGATGAATTTAATGAGACTTCTCAGAGCTTCCCAATCTGACAGTGTCCATGTTTGAAAATGAAATTTACTCCATTGAATTGCAGAAAAACATTGTCCTTGCTGGCTTAAAAATATTAACATAGCTGAAATTGAACTCTCCGGTCCCTGAAAGGAGACATTTTCATCTTTCAAACTACATTAACTTAAGGTACTTTATTAGATGTTTTTTGTATGCAGCCTTTCTCTTCAGAAAAAAAAGAAAAAACTCAGGCATTATACTCAAGTATATCTCATCAAAAGACATCTTGGGGGATGTCAAGAAGTTAAAAGGGTAGCAACAATCATGAGATAGAAACCTCATTCATTTGAATTCTGATGATGTTCCATGGGGTTTGGACCTGTGAGATAAGGGCGGATTGGGATGCAGCCCAGAAGGCATCCTCAATCGCTGAGCAATTGTAAAAAAAAAAAAATCCTAATTGGATTGTCTTTAGAAAGCATAAACATCTCTTCCAAGATAGTGCATGAATGCCCCATCCAAAGTTCAAGAAAGTTGCTGCTTTCGTTAGCGATAGCAATAGCACTTAAACTTATACAGGTAGTCCTCAGCTTACAACCACAATTGAGCCCAAAATTTATGCTGCTGAGTGACAAATTTGCTAAGTGCTCCATTTGCTCCATTTTACGACTTTTCTTGCCACATTTGTTTTAAGTGAATCAATGCAGTTCTTAAATTAGTCACATGGTTTTTAATTGAATAGAGTTTCCCCCATCGTTTTTGCTTGTCAGAAGGCCGCAAAAGGGGATCACATGACCCTGCTTCACTGCAACCGTCGTAAATGTGAATCAGTTGCCAAGCATCCGAATGTAAATCGCATGACCATGGGGATGCTGCAATGGTCATAAGCGTGAAAAATGGTCATGTCCCTTTTTTCAGTGCCATTGTAACTTTGAATCTGGGCCCTGATTTTTTATTGACCTCGGAAGGATGGTACACTGGGTCAATCTTGAGCTGGACAGGATCGAACTGCTGGCAGTTGGCAGAGTTAGCCTGCAATATTGGATTCTAACCACTGTGCCACCACGGGTCATTAATAGTGTGCATATTATCAGCTGATAAAACAAATTTGGTTAACCAGCTAATATTTCTTACAACCAGCTGAAATAACTCTTTCCCTCTAGTATTCATGTATGGTAAATGTATACACCTTTATCCCACCCTAATCCATTACTCCCAATATCATGACTTTTTTGACATTTGTCATACACACAGTGGTGGGATTCAAATGTTTTTACTACCAGTTCTGTGAGCGTGGCTTGGTGTGCATGGCTGGGGAAGAATACTGTAAAATCTCCAGTCAGAGGTGGGATTTGCTGGTTCTCCAAACTACTCAAAATTTCCGCTATCGGTTCTCCAGAACTGGTCAGAACCTGCTGAATACCCCCTCTGGAGTAGGTGACTTACATTACATTCACATAATGAATGTTCAAAGTTACAATGGCCCTAAAAAAGCGACTTATGAGCATTTTTCACAAACGTTGCATTATCCCCATGGTCACGTGATCAAAATCCAGGTGCTTGGCAACTGGCGTTTATTTATGACACTTGCAGCATCCCCATGGGGACATGTGGTCACCCTTTGTAACTTTCCCAGCTGGCTTCCAACAAGCCAAGTCAGTGGGGGAAGCCAGATTTGCTTAATGACTGCATGACTTGCTTAACAACTGTGACAAAAAGGTTGTAAAATTGCGTGCAACCCACCTAACAACTGCTTTCCTTAGCAAAGGCAATTTTGGGCTCAATTGAGGTTGTAAGTTAGGACTACCTATATCTTAAAAAAGAGTCACTCTTGACTAGGAAACAATGAGTTACTCCAATTATTTAATGTCATTTGAAAATACAAAACTTCTCTAGTTGATTTGTGTTGTTGAACTGGGGAATCAATTCTGATTAGGAAATAGTGACATCTAGTGGAATAGAATGTGATGACATCCCAAAGTCCTAGAATTAATGCAAGATGCTGTAATTATTTTATCCTAGCAGAAACTTCTGCACATGTTTTTTCATGCCTGAGGCGGTGGGGTTTCTAACTTTATAAAGTATTTTTGATTTGTCCCTTCAGGTTAGTCAGGGCTGTCATAGGTATAAGAGTGAGGGAAAGAAAAACACTGTTCAAGTTTCAAGGACCTGTTGCTCCAGCCAATAAGTATTAGAGCTGTAGTATTTTTGTGAGCTTTCTTGACCTGATCGACCTGGAAGGGCTGGCAGTGGGAGAAAGGGACATTTATATGATTGGCCCATGATTTACCCAGAAGCCATAGGCAGAATAACAATTGGACCCAAGTCTCCTTAATCCAGGGATAGGGAATCTGTAGAGACTAGAAGACCTCTAAGGTCCCTTCTAACTCTGTTATTCTATTCTACATTTATTCTTACAGTTTTTAAGAAGATATTATGTTTTTTATTTCCAACTCTCATGAAAGCTACCATTCTGAAATCTATGGCTGTTTTCATTTCTTGAGTTTGTTACATATGTGCGACTTGACTGTTGCTGGACTCCATCTTATGGCATCTCTCACTGTCCGTCACACTACTGGGGCTTTGGCAAGTGGATTCCAATGACATTTGAATGATCGCAAGTGCTCCACTGCACCTTAAACACAGGACAACATTGTAGGATCCACTGGAAGGCAAAACACTTTACAGGTAGTCCTCAACTTATGACCACCATTGAGCCCCAAGTTCTTGTTATTAAGTGAGACATTTGTTAAGTGAGCTTTGCCCCATTTTACGGCTTTTTTGTGCCATGGTTATTAAGTGAATCACTGTGGTTCTTAAGTTGGTAACATTAGGGATGGGATTCAATTTTTTAAACAACCGGTTCTGTGGGCATGGCTTAGTTAGTGGGTGTGGCTTGGTGGTCATGTGATTGGGGTGTGTGGCCAACTCGACATCACTCATGTCAAGGGGTGCTTCTCCTCGCCTGGCCTCTCATGACAGTGGGGATGCTGCAACAGTCATAAAGTGTGAAAAATGGTCATAAGTCACTTTTTTCAGTGCCACTGTAACTTTGAATGGTCACTAAATGAACTGTTGTAAGTCAAGGATTACATGTACAAAAATACAAAAGGCTTCTTTGCTTGCAAAAAGCTGCCCTAAATACCAAACATTAGATTAAAAATACCTGCAAGACGGAGTTACAAATCAGGCAGGGTGTCAGAGGCCCTTGAGGAATTAAAATAGTTAAAATGCAGTGATAACTATCAAGCAGCCAACTCTTGCTCATAAAGTGAAACCCTTTAGCAGAGAGGTCATTTAAGCTCTCCAGAAAAAGCACACCCAGGAAAAGCAATCCTCAGATCCATTTGCACCACTTAAAGCTGGTCTCACTCACCTCACAAGATATCCTGAGGAAATCATCCAGATTTAAGGAAAGGTCACATGCCCCCCCAGAAAGGCAGTAAAAAAATCAGTGCCAAGCTTGTATCCTGCCTCTTGGAAGTACACCCCAAAAGGACAGTGCCAGATACCACTAAAGCAGTAAAGGAAGACCCCCTCCCCAGATAGAAAAAGAAATTATGAGGCAGGAAAAAATTCAAACACAATACAAATAACTAAATCACAACAGTAGCTGTTGCTTGTTGAAGCTGAATAGGGAAAATTATCCCATCAATAAACACAGGATTAAATGTCACAAAGCACAGAATTAACCTTCACCAAAAACCAGTTTTAGACCCAAACTCAGAAAGGCTATAGAGACATTCATGTTTGAATGCCGATCTTTCTAGCTAGCCAAGAAGCCTTGCTGAATGTCACTCATCTTGGTTCCCTGTCATTAAAAGCTTCTTTCTGATAGCTCTGCTTCATTATTCAATTATTTCTTCAAAGTGCTGATTGTCCAGGGAAGTATTTCCTCCCAACAGCAGTGTAAAAATCTTAAAACAACCCTTCCCCTTTAAGAAAGTCAAGCCCCAGAAACTCCGGAGACAGGAAGTCTAGGCGTACTGGCAAGAATGTAATAAGGGTGGAACAAAACAAAAGGAGATTGCTTCTAACTACCGGTTCTCTGAACTGCTTAGAAAGTTAAAAAGGGGTTCTATAGAACCGATCAGAACCGGTAGAATCCCACCCCGGGTAACATGGTTGTTAAGTGAATCTGGTTTTCCTCCGTTAACTTTGCTTGTCAGAAGCAAAAAAGGGATCACATGATCCCAGGACACTGCAACCGTCATAAATGTGAGTCAGTTGTCAAGCATCCGCTTGCAAATCACGTGACCATGGGGATGCTGCAATGGTCATAAGTGTGGAAAATGTTCATAAGCCAGTGTTTTTTCAGTGCTTTGAACAGTTCTTACATGAACTATTGTAAGTCGAGGACTACCTGTGCAGGAAAAGTACTTATTTTAACCTACATCCCTGATGAGACAAAGTGCATCTCAATATTGTGGGCCTGGCCAGTGATGTTGCAATGACCCACCCTCTTCTTGAAGGCCAGTGGGAAAACTTTCTTGAAGGCCTTCTGAAAGTTACTGCCCATGAAGGCGTAGACAATAGGGTTGAGGGAAGAATTGGCATAGGACATGCAGTGAGCAAAAATCTTCACCTTGTAAGTATAGTAATTGTGCTGAAAGCTGGAGTCAAAGGCTTGAAAGAGGATCAGAAGCTGCACCGGACCCCAGCAGATGGTGAAGAGAGCAATGATGATGGCCACCATACGAGAGATCTTGGCTCGCAAAGCTTCAGAGAATTCTGTCAGCTGCTGTACCTTTATTGGGTCACAGAAAGGAGGAAGAGGTGTCCCCAATGAAAAGGAAGGTAGAGAGATACCAGGGCGTCATCAAAATATTGGACTAAAATGCCCAGGTTTAAGTCTATTCTTCTTCTTGTTCGGTCTGTCAAGCCCGAAATTGACATATGCGTAGCCATTTTATTTAGCCTTATTATATAATCCTTTTCTTTCTTTCTTTTTGCTGGTTATGGGGGGAAGGGTTTCGAGCTTGCCACATTCCTAAGGTGGGAGGCATGGAGATAGAGAGAGTTGTTTAGGCTAAGTGGTTCTCTTTCCCCGTGGGAACAAAAGCTGACCCTGCTGAAACCTGGAGGTGGAGATTGATGACACCAATCAATGTTGATTTACTTCTATTGGGGAATGTGACTTTTGAGGGCTGTTTCTAATTTCCAATATTATGCAGTGTATTTCCGGGTTGTGTCAGATCCGGAATTACAACAAATGTTTGCCAATTTGATGCTTTCCTAAATAAAAGAGATTGTTTTGGAAGATGGGTGTTGCTCTTTTCTTTTTAAATGGATTTCATCCCTTGGAAACCTGACACGGTTGCTAAGTCGTGTCCAACTCCTTGAGACCTCATGGACACAGCATGCCAGGTTCCCCTGTCCTCCAATGTCTGCCCAAACTGTCAGACCTGTCCCAGCTTGGGCGTTTAGGAAAGAAAGACCCTCGACTCCATTCGTAGCGACAGGTATACTTTTACTAAAGCCAAGTGGTTATAGTGTAAGGAAAGCCAGATCTGAAACCTCCTGCATGAACCAAATAGTTTTCCTTGGTCCTCTTGCTATTGTCCAATGAAGTTCAAATTAGTTGTTTTGGCAACAGTTCTGCAGTCAGCACCTCTTTGGTGAGTGTTTGCATTCTTTCCCATACCTGTGTCCTTGGATCATTCAACTCTTGTCTCGGGTTGGCACTTCTGGTTGCTGTCATTCATTTCCCCCTTCCGAGTATCCTTTCTCCCCCACCCCCTGCAGTTTATGGCATGTTGCCATCAAAGCAAAGTAGAGCTGAAATGGTATCAGAGGTGGTATTCAGTAGGTTCTGACCAGTGGTGGGATTCAATTTTTTTTTACTACCACTTCTGTGGGCATGGCTTGGTGGGCGTGGCAGGGGAAGGATACTGTAAAATCTCCAGTCAGAGGTAGTCAGTTCTCCAAACTACTCAAAATTTCTGCTACCGGTTCTCCAGAACTGGTCAGAACCTGCTGAATACCACCTCTGGTTCTGACCAGTTCTGGAAAACCAGTAGCAGAAATGTTAAGTAGTTCAAAGAACCGGCAAGTACCACCTCTGACTGGCCCCGCCCCCATCTCTTCTCTGCCTCCCGAGTCCCAGCTGATCGGCTGGGTCTTCTTTGGTTGCCCTGCACAGGAGAACGGAGCTGGAAAGCAGGTTAGTGGGGTGGGGAGGGAATGGGGATTTTGCAGTAACCTTCTCTCAGGAGTGGGATGGGGTGGGGAATCGGGATTTTGCAGTATCCTTCCCCTGCCACGCCCACCAAGCCACGCCCACAGAACCAGTAGTAAAAAATTTTGAATCTCACCACTGAGTGGTATGATGACAGTTTTGACATGTCCACCATATCGATGACACTATCTAACCATCTCATTCTTTTTTTAAAAAATTAAGATCTTTCATCTCACATCCAGTTTATCTCAGATACAACATACAGCTTAGAGTACCTACCTGGTAATGGTTATCCGCTGGCGCCACGGTGGGGCGTCCCATCTGGTAAAGCATAGCACTATAGCAGAGGAGGATGGTCAATAAAGGGAGGAGGTAAACTGCTAAAAAGTTGTAGAGGATAAAGGCTCTCTCGTGGTACACGGAAGGGAAGGACTCTCTGCAGAATGTTTGCGGACCGAACCAATAGCCTTCTATCAGCTGATTGTAAATCAACACCGGGATGGAGACAAGGAAGGAACCTGTGAAGAAAAAGGATCAAGGCTGGCAACTCTATCTCACCTCCTGTTCTGGAGGCCTTTATTTGTCCATTTGTTGATAGAAGAGGTCCTCAACTTACAACCATTCATTAGGGACCACTCAATAGCAATAGCACTTAGACTTATATACTGCTTCATGGTACTTTACAGCCTTCTCTAAGCAGTTTACAGAGTCAACATATTGCCCCCCCCCCAACAATTTGGGTCCTCATTTTTACCCACCTCAGAAGGATGGAAGGCTGAGTCAACCTTGAGCCTGGTGGGATTTGAACTGCCAAATTGCAGTCAGCCAGCAGAAGTAGCCTGCAGTACTGCACTCTAACTCCTGCGCCACTGTGGCTCAAACTTACAACAGCAATGGAAAAAGTGTCTTATGACCATTTTTTTACACTTATAACCACTGCAGCATCCCTGCGGTCACCTGACCAAAATTTAGATAATCGTCAGTTGGTTCATATTTATGACAGTTGCAGTGTCCCAGGGTCATGCGATGACTTTTTTGTGACTTGACAGATAACAGATAATCAGAGTTGGAAGGGACCTTGTAGGTCATCTACTCCAACCCTCCACCCAAGTAGGAGATGCTACACACCATTTCTGACAGATGGCCATCCAGTCTCTTCTTGAAAGCCTCCAGTGATGAAGCTCTCATAACTTCCGAGGGCAACTTTTGTTCCATTGGTTGATCGTTCTCACTGTCAGAAAGTTTCTCCTTATTTCCAGGTTAAATCTCTCCTTGTTCAGTTAAATCAATGGGGAAGCCAGATTCATTTAACAACTATGTACTCACTTAGCAACTGCAGTGGTTTCCACTTAACAATTGTGGCAAGAAAGGTCATAAAATGGAGCAACATTCCCTTAACAACTGTCTCGATTAGGGTATATAAATTTAAGTGCTATTGCTTTTGTGATTCTAAACATAGGTTACTTTGTATCAGCAGGACAGGAGGTGGTGGTGTCAATCACTGTAGCACAGCAAACCCTTACCAATCTTAATACAATACTGGGAGATAACCCATGGAGGTAGGGCCTCAGTTGGACTCAACAAAAGGTCCCTGGGAAGCACACAGGAGTGCAAACTTAGCATCTGTCTCAGTGGTGGGATTAAATTTTTTTACTACCGGTTCTGTGGGCATGGCTTGGTGGGCATGGTGTGATTTGGTAGGCATGGCAGGGGAAGGTTACTGCAAAATCCCCCTTCCCTCCCCACCCCACTAACCTGCTTTCTAGTTCTGTTCTGCTGTGCAGGGCAACCAAAGAAGACCCAGCTGATCAGCTGGGACTCAGGAGGCAGAGAATAGATGGGGGCTGGGCCAGTCAGCGGGGGTATTTGCTGGTTCTCCGAACTACTCAAAATTTCCACTACCAGTTCTCCAGAACTGGTCAGAACCTGCTGAATACCACCTCTGATCTGTTTGTAATGTCTTGTGGCAGCTGATCTTTTCCCCAGGAATTTATGAGCACTAGCAACTTAGAAATTGAATTCCAAGCATTGCACAGCTTTTAAGCAGGGGTGGGATTCTAGAGGTTTGCACCTATTCACTAGAATCGGTTGTTAACATTCTAAGCAGTTCAGAGAACCGGTTGTTAGAAGAAATTCCCGGCCTAATCCTTCAAGGAAGGCAGGAAGGAAACATTCTGGTGTTGCTTACAGAAACTGCCTCTCCGTTAACCCTTATTACATTCTTGGCAGGACTGGACTTCCTGTCTCAGGAACTTCTCTAGAGTTTTTTCCCCCTCCTTTGCTGGTACTTTGCTTGTATGCAGTGACCAAAGTTACAATGGCACTGAAAAAAGTGACTTATGACCATTTTTTACACTTACGACTGTTGCAGCATCCCCACAGTCATGAGAGGCCAGGAAAGATGCGTGCCTCGATGTGAGTGATATTGAATTGGCCACTCCCAGCCAACAACATGACCACCAAGCCACGTCCACCCAATCACATGACCCCCAAGCCACGCCCACCACCTAAGCCACGCCCACAGAACCGGTTGTTAAAAAATTTGAATCCCACTCCTGCTTTTAAGAAATACTTGATAGCATCACAGTAATGTCAGAGGCATTCCTGGACACTCTGGGCAAACTTTGGAACAGTGTGATTCCAGATGCATTTCACTGCCCAGAATTCCTTTTGTGGAGTCTTTGGTGTTATCTGAGCTTGGTTGTTTACTTGCAGATGTGTCATTACCAGACTAGGTTACACTTTTACCGATCTCGGAAGGATGGAAGCCTGAGTAGCATTGATGCCTCCTAAGCTTTGGCACCCTAGCCAGTGCTTACTAGGCCTTAGCTAAAGCTGACCCTGGGCATCACAACACACATACAAAAAGGAAAGGAGACCTCCACAGTCCTTGCAACTCTGTTATATTGTTACTGGTTGCGTTGTAATGACAAATTGCTGATTTCCTCATTTAGCCCCTGCCGTTAAGAGGATCCCACAGCTTCCAAGATGCTTTTCAACTGACCAGAGTATCCTAGTATCCTACAGACCTAGGATTGCCTGGGCAGTTGAAAAGCAACTTGGAAGCTGATAACAAACCATTTCAACTCTGTCACCAAGAAAACTGAAGAAATGTGCCCATGAAGACACAGAGACCACATTTGGCTCAAAAGAGAATTTATCTATTGAGCAGCCCAGTGGATCTATAGCCCTGTTTCTCAATCTTGGCTAGTTCAAGATGCATGGGTTTCAACTTGCAGAATACCCCCGCCAGCACTGGATCTTCATAGCAATAGCACTTAGATTTATATACCTCTTTGCAGTGCTTTACAGCCCTCTCTAAGCTGTTTACAGGGTCAGCATAGTTCCCCCAACAATCTGGGTCCTCATTTTACCAACCTTGGAAGGATGGAAGACTGAGTCAACCTTGAGCTGGTCAGGATCAAACTCCTGGCAGTGGGAATGCAGAGTTAGCCTGCAATACTTCATTCTAACCACTGCGCCAATCAGCTCTTGCCAAGGTTGATAAACACTGACCTATAATAATTATATGCCATTGATGCTTAGGTTTAAAATAAGGAATTTATTAAACTTAGCAGCTAAAACAATAATTGCTTAACAATGGAAAATCTTAGATCAGGGGTGTCAAACTGGATTTCTTCGATCAGCATTGTCGTTCTCTCCCACGGACTGGCTGGGGAGAGGTAGGGGAGACAGGACAGATACATCCGGTAGCACTCTGTTGGGGTGGTGGGTATGCCCCCTGTGCCCGTTTTCGGCCTGGATGGCCTCCTGCAACACTTTGCCAGCCCGTTTTCATGAGCAGAGGCACCACGGCCTGGTCCTTCATTATTTCCAAGCCACCCCCGCCAGATTTAAGCACCCTTTAGTTTGACACCTCTGCCTTAGATAATCCAAAAATGAGAAGTGGGTTAACAAGACTTCTTGAATTGCTGTGTTAGAAGAGGTTTATGTATAAAGTTACAATCAGGGTTTTTCTGCAGGGAGGCAGATAAGAAAGTCAAGACAGTGGCCACAACGATTCAGTCAAAGCTCCTCCCCCTTTTCACATGCGCCCTCAAAGAAGGCAGGGCTTCAGTCACACGGTTGCAAACACAGCCTTGAATTGCAAGCTGAATATTGAAGCATTAGGAGCCAGAACCACAATTCTATCAGTTTTCAATTGGGAGGACTTTATGCAGGGGTAGTATTCAGCAGGTTCTGAGCACTTCTGGAGAACCGGTAGCGGAAATTTTGAGTAGTTCAGAGAACCGGCAAATACCACCCCTGACTGGCCCTGCCCCCATCTCTTCTCTGCCTCCCGAGTCCCAGCTGATTGGCTGGGTCTTCTTTGGTTGCCCTGCACAGGAGAACAGAGCTGGAAAGCAGGTTAGTAGGGTGGGGAGGGAATGGGATTTTGCAGTATCCTTCCCCCAGGAGTGGGGAGGGAATGGGGATTTTACAATATCTTTCCCCTGCCATGCCCACCAAGCTACACCCACCAAACCAAACCACACCCACCAAGCCACACCCACAGAGCCACACCCACAGAGCCAGTAGTGAAAAATTTTGAATCCCACCACTGACTTTATGTATTATCTGAATGGTAGCAGACCTATCACTGGCAATTAGTATGATACATGGCAAACATGGAAGATATTTATTAGTTTTTTCTCTAATTTTTTTTACTTCATAGCAGATGTTTTTGCCCATGTAAAAGACATTCAGTTATTTGATCATGTTGGTGAACAATTCTAACTGACCCTGGAGGCTGCCCCTACTCACCAAGCCAAATGCTGATGATGACAGTTACGGCAACTCGTGGTGTGCGCCGTCGCAGGGACTGAAGTGGAAAGACAGTCACATACCACCGGTCCACACTCATGGCCGTCAGGGTGACACAGGTCGCTTGCACTGAGACCTATGGAGCCAAACCAAGGGATTTGAAACACGAAACAAAATGCACAGGTACAGTATAGGTGGTACCTCGCTCAATAGTGGTGATTGTGAGAGGGATCTTGGAGTCCTAGTGGACAACCATTTAAATATGAGCCAGAAATATGCAGCAGCTGCCAAAAAAGCCAACACAGTTCTAGGTTGCATAAACAGAGGGATAGAATCAAGATCACGTGAAGTGTTAATACCACTTTACAATGCCTTAGTAAGGCCACACTTGGAATGCTGCATCCAAGTTTGGTCACCACGATGTAAAAAAGATGTTAAGACTCTAAAAAGAGTGTAGAGAAGAGCAACAAAAATAATTAGGGGATTGAAGGCTAAAACATATAAAGAATGGTTGCAAGAACTGGGTATGTCTAGTCTGATGAAAAGAAGGACTAGGGGTGACATGAGAGGAGTGTTCCAATATCTCAGGGGTTGCAACAAAGAAGAGGGAGTCAAGCTATTCTCCAAAGCACCTGAGGGCAGGACAAGAGGCAATGGGTGGAAACTAATCGAGGAGAGAAGCAGCCTAGAACTAAGGAGAAATTTCTTGACAGTTAGAACATTTAATCAATGGAACAACTTGCCTCCAGAAGTTGTGAATTCTCCAACACTGGAAGAAATTGGACAGCCATTTTTCTGAAATGGTGTAAGGTTTCCTGCCTAAGCAGGGGGGTTGACTAGAAGACCTCCAAGGTCCCTTCCAACTCTGTTTATTCTATTCTGTTCTGTTCTACTCTACTCTATTCTACTCTACTTTATTCTCGTTGGAATTCTTTGCAATGTTTTCGATTATTTTGCGGATTTTACTTTGCTGACTTTCCTATTAACTCGAAACAGATACAATTATGGGAAGAGAGGAGGTCACTTGTAGAGGTTCACTGTACACAGAGATAGTTCGAAAATTCCATTTTTCTCAGGCTCTACTCCAAATGCAGCTTCTTTGCTTTTTATATTGGGCATTCTATGGCCTGTGAGCCACATCTGACCCTTTGGATGTTTCTGTGCAGCCCATGGCAGTGGCTTCAGTGGCAGTGGCAGTGGTAATAACTGCAGCAGCAGGTCTAGTAGTTCAGCTCTCCACAACAGTACCAGTTTTCTATGCGGACCTGTGGGAAAATTAATCCCCACCTCTGTCCTATGTGAATCCCAGCATGGTCTGAAAGGGCAGAAAAACAGAATGACACAGTTGGAAGGGACCTTGGAGGTCTTCTAGTCCAACCCGCTGGTCAAGCAGGAAAACCTCTACCATTTCAAACAAATGGTTGTCCAATCTCTTCTTAAAAACTTCCAGTGTTGGAGCACCTACCACATCTGGGGTCAAGTTGTTCCACGGGTTAATTATTCTCACTGTCAGGAAATTCCTCCTGAGTTTTAGATTGATTCTCTCCTTGATTAGTTTCCATCCATTGCTTCTTGTCTTGCCTTTAGGTGCTTTGGAGAATAGCTTGACCACCATCCCTCTTCTCTGTGGCAGCCCCTTAAATATTGGAACACTGCTGCACCTAATCCACAAAACTCTTGCCCCTTCCGTGATAGTGCACAGAACCTACTGAATACCACCTCTGGTGTGTATGGCTTCATGTGCTGCCTGCATCCCATGAATGAGGCCTCGCTTTTTGCACATCCCGGTTTCTGGCATGCCGCAACCCAGTTTCTGGCATGCCATGGACAGGGGCCGATCCATGGACCGGGGGTTTGAGGACCTCTGATTTAGACAAATAAACAACCCTATAGTGCAGGGGTGTCAAACTCATTCATTGAGGGCTGCATCAGGATTGTGTTTGACCTCGGTGGGCCAGGGTCGGCGTGGCCAGGGTGAATGTGGCCAGATCAACATCACTCGTGTGGGGGATGCCTGTGGTGGCCCAAGCATTCTGCCAGCGAAAATAGGGTCCTGAGCCCCATTTTTGGCTGCAACGGTGTCCTGCAACCCACGGCCCTCCTGAGCTCCGATTTCATTGGCAGATGCACCATGGGCCGACATTCAAAGTTTCCAGAGCAGCTCCATGGACCAGATCTAAGCACCAGTGGGCCTTGAATTTGACCCACCTGCTATATAGTGCTTTACAGCACTTTCTGGGTGGTTTACAATATGCATTATTTGCATATTGCCCTCAACAATCTGGATCCTGAGAATGTTCCAAAGGATAGGGTCCACAGCAGAAAAGGCTCTTTTCCACCCCACCTCCAAGAAATACTACATCTCTGGAGGAAACTGCAGCAGGAAGAGATAATGCTGTTATATCTCTTTTAAACATGCACCACATGTACACAAAAGGCATGTGGATGTGTCTGTAATCAGTCATAATCACCATCAACATTTTATCCCGCCCCCCCTTTTTTTTTGTACTGGGCATCATGATAGCGCTTGGTCATACCTAATGCAGAACTATAGCAGTTTTACCAAGTGGAGGCTGCCCTCTGCCACTCTGTAAGAGTAACCGTTTATCACCGTTAGCAAAGACATTGCTCTCTATTACGCTAGAAACGATTGGGCTTTTTATCCCTCTGCTATGATTGATAGGGTCTCCTCGGGTTAATAGTCAGAGAGAGGTGTGAGTCATATCAGATCCATGTTATAACAAGTGTGAATTAACTATTTTTTGAGTGCAATGTTAAAATATAAGCTTTTTTTCTAGATAGAAACTAGAACAGCAAGCAAATCTTAAGGAGAAAGACAAGCATGTGTCAACTTCGACATGCCATGACAGCATGCTTATGAACAGGTCATTCTTACTTAAATTATTTGATTTAATAAACAAATTAAATAAATAAAGGATTATATATATATATATATATATATATATATATATATATGGCATTCAGCTTTGTTTGGGTATTTTCCCACGACATTGTAGTTGTGCTTTTAAAGTTGTAGCAATGTTTCGGCAGAATCTCATCTGCCATCATCAGGCTTCTGGTTGTGTCCATCAGAAGCCTGATGTTGGAAGTTACCATGAACACCCTTTCTATCTATGCTGCAAGAGAGCTCAGGGTGGGTTGACTCCTTCCTATGATGTCATTTAGCTGGGGAGTCTGTACTAAGATATAAAAGCCAGCCCCTGGGAGAGACCCCAGCTTTGGCGAAGATACTTGACAGACTGAAAGGTGTCTCTGAAAGCACAAAATGAATACAGAAATATGTCTTACCTTCTCCGGACGAATCAAGGGAGGGGCTGGGCTCTCTCGCAGCATAGATAGAAAGGGCATCCACGGTAACTTCTACCAACGCCCATTCTCCTCCATGCTGCATTGAGAGCCCAGGATGGGACATACCAAACAAGGGATTACTTAGAGCGATGGAAGGAATGACCCCCTCCCCCCCGAAAGGGCCGTTTACCAGTAGAAGGTTGTTGCCTGCCAAATGCTTCCGCACGTTGGTCTTGGCGTTGGGAGTACGGCCTCTGAGAGCGGGGGAAGCGGGATGAGGTCTCCACTCAAAAGGCAGGAGGGCGATGAGGAGCAGGGCAATAGTCGGCTTTCTTCCCAGAAGAAGAGAGAAATTTATGTTTATCTCTGGTTTCAATGAGAGCATCACCAAAAAGCTTATCTCCTGCGAATGGAACTGAAGCCAGCTTCCATTTTCGGTGTGACTCCACCTGCCAGTTTCGGAGCCATAACAGTCTTCTTGCTGCTACTGAAGATGCCATGGCCCTGGATGTAAATTTGGCAGAATTGAGAGTGGCATCCGCAGTGAATTCCAGCGCTGCGATAATCTTATTAAGGTCTTGGTGAGACCGAAGGTCAGAAGCAGGCAATCTGTTCTGGAGTTGGTGCAGCCACCGTATGGATGCCCTCATGAAAAAGGATGCTGCTGTTGAAGCCCAAACAGCCCATGCAGCGGTCTGGTGATTGCGCTTGAGGGTCTGTTCAGAACATTTATCATCTGGTTTCAGGATATCTTCTGGCTCCGTGGGAGTGCCAGAAGATGAGAGCGAGGCCAGAACTGGAATGTCAACAGAAGGCACTGCCAGGGCATTGTCCAGAGCTGCGCTGACATTGTAGAAACGCTTATCCAGAGAAGATGGGTGAGGACCTGCTGAAGGGGAAGCGCACTGTTCCTTGACCATGTCCAGGAACAAAGTGGGAGAAGGCAAAACCTCTGCATGCACTACAGGCTTGGAGAAGAGCGAGTCTCCCTGGCTAGAGGGAATTCCTTGTGGCTCAGGAGCCACTTCCTCCGGTGACAGCTTGGCAGTGACCAAGGCCTTGCTGAATAATGGACTGAAGAGAGAAGGTTTGAAGACCAATTCAGAGGATGTCTGCTCTGGGCGAGAGTCCTCCCCCTCTGAAAGATTTTGGTCAAAGGTCTCGCCCTCTTCACGTTCTGAACGAGGAGTAACTGTGTTCAGATGGTGAAGCCCTTCCCTCCTCATCAGCCTCCTCCCATTCTGGTAGAGAAGAATGGACCCTGAGGTCCTGGGGCCTGTGGAAATCAGGGTGATGAGGCAAGGAACTTATAGATTGAGAAGGGAGAAGGGCCTGAACCCTTTCCAGAGGTCGAAGGATTTGCTTGAAGCCTTCAGCCAATCCCTGCCTAATGGCCAAAGAGACAACATCTTGGATATCCCCTCGTCTATGCTCAAAGGTAGAGGCAGAAGGCCGAAGGAGTGAAGGTGACTTCAGGCCTAGATTGAGAAGAGGTTCAAGGCCTGGAGGGATGGGGAGGAGCATAGGGCCCAGAAGCCTGTTGGAAGTAAGGCCCAGATCTGCTTAGATCCTGAGGATCATATGGTACTGCAAAGGCCTCAGGAGACCAGGATGGAGGATGGAAAGGCTCATAGATAACTTCTCCTCCCCTGGGAGGGCTTGGCTGGGGCCCACGGGTATCACCTGAAACCTGCTGTAGTTGCACTCCCTTCTGTTGAATAGTTCTGTTGAACTGCCTCTTCTGGGCCGCATGTCTGCGCTTCTCTGCCCTCAACTCAGCCTGAGTTGCCTTCTTAGGGGCTAGAGCCTTAGCTCTCATTTTAGCAGCCACCTCCCTCTGGACTGATTGGGTGCGTTGCCTACGACTTTTTCTCTTATTGGGTTTAAGAGACTGTTCCACTGGGGGGGGGGGAACTCTGCCTGACCCTTATCTTGCTCCATTTGAAGAATAAAGGCTCTTACGATGGAAAGAAACTGTTTTTGTAAATTTTTTGTATTAAGCCCCTTAGGGTATAAATTGGCCCCCGGGCTTACAAAATGGCTGCTCACCTAGTGGTGGAAGGCTTCAATCCAAGATGGCCGCTGACTAGGGGAAACAGGCTCCGAAATCAAAGAATCACTCCTTAGGCTATAAGGAGCCCCAAGCAAAGTCAGCAAAGGAAAAGGTATCTGTCGGCCACACGATCAGCTGGCTGACGCTGTTATTGGTTTGCCGATCGTTTTTTATGACCGCTTAAACCGCAGGCGTGGGGGAGGTCTGCAGATGCTGCCCAAGTTGCCTACACAGCGCTCTGGCAACGCTGCTCCCAACGTTGCAGGAGAGAGAGCCCTGCTCTCCTGGAAGAGCAGCTGCCCAGATCCCTAGCAGCTGCTTGAAGCGAGGAAAATGTACTGAAGATCGCTGGTAACAGAACGCTTTCAGAGACACAGCTACTGACTGAAAGGAGCTCAGTCAAAAGCTGGGCTCCCTCCCGGGGGCTGGCTTTTATATCTTAGTACAGACTCAGCTAAATGACGTCATAGGAAGGAGTCAACCCATCCTGGGCTCTCGATGCAGCATGGAGGAGAAAAAATGGCTTATGACCATTGCAACATCTCCAGGGTCATTTGAATGCTTGAGAAGTGGTTCAACTCATATTTTGGCCAGATTCACTTAACAACTGTTACTAACTTAACAAGTGTAATGATTCACTTAACAATTATGACCAGAAAGATCGTAAAATGGGACAATGTCCCCTAAACAATGGTCTCGCTTAGCAACAGAAATTTTAGGGTCAATTGTGGTCATTGGTTGAGGATTACCTGCATGTACCTACAGGCTACTCTCATTCACTATTTCCCATATCTATGCACAGACCCATAAATATAATACCGTTATACTTCTCAAGGATCTTCATTGTGGATGCTGTTTTGAAGATTTGATTTCAAAATGAGCTAAAATGAGTTTTACATTTCTGACCTGAGAAGATACGAAACACCACAATTCTGATATGGCACTTGAAATTAGCTAGGAAATTACCCTGGGGGAAAAAAGACCTGAAGAGAGAAGTTTCCAAATTCAGACACTGCTCACCTGTTGGATGTAGTTGACAAATTTACATAGGAATTCTCCAAAGATCCAGCCCGGAAGTGGATACAGCATTGCAGTGAAGGGAACGCAACAAACCAGGAAAATGATGTCGGTGGTAGCCAGGTTGGCTGTTGAAGCAAGAGCACAGGCTGCTGGTCTTTAAACAGTGATGAAATTTGCCTATGTCTCTCCCTTTATCAAGCTGGCTTAGAACCAAGCATGCATTCAAAAGAAGATCAGAATACAACAAGACACTAATGAGAACCTGCAGGAGGTGGCTATCTTAGGGATGTGTCAATTTCCATAAGCATAAGAATGTTAAAGTGGGAAAAGGAGGGAAAAGCTAGCACCTCAATTATCACTTTAAGAAAATCCACTTTTTTCTATTACACTTTTTCAGTAGTTTTTTTTTCACGATGTAGAAAGAAAATCCCAGGCTGTTTTTATTACCCTGAAATTCTCAATTCAGTTCTTCACTTCTTTGTACTCTTATAAACATCTATCCATCATATCTCTCTCTCTCTCTCTCTCTCTAACATGACTAACTAAATGGTTAATTTTTAAGTGCCTGATATTAATTTAACCTTTTAATGTTAATTATTTACTTATTATTTATTTATTATATTTAGAAACCTGCCATCACCCTCCCAGAGCAATGAATGTACTAATGGGAGGATGGAAAGGTATGCTTATGATTATTTTAGCTCAGTCTTCTTCAAACTGCGCCCTCCAGGTACATTGTGCTACAACTTCCATGTTCATACTTTTAAGGAAGCTGGAATAAGCTGGTGATCACCATACAACTACCTATTACATTGAATCTCTCTATCTCATTTGAGTTGTTGGTCCCAGTTTAAAAGCATCTCTTTCATTACAACCCTTCCCCATCTGAATGCCTCCAAATTGTCTTACCAATGTAGTAGTTGGTCACTGTCCTCATTGGCTTGTGTCTGATGATGACGTAGATTACCAGAGAGTTGCCCAATAGCCCAACTAACATCAGAATGGCAAAGAAGAGTGGGACCAGCCAGGCGTCCACCAAATATGGGGGAGTGGGTGGCTCCGAGCCATTAGCGCACAACTCGGCAGTGCAGGCAGAATTGTTCAGAAAGAAGTAGGATTTGTTGAAATCAGAAATGGATGCTTCCTCTACCATATTCTTCTTTATTTTCCCAGCTGAACCGTGGACTGTTCAGCTTTGTTTGTTCCCAGAATGGTTCATCTGCTTGTAAAATGGGAGAAGATCTGCTCAAATCTGGATGTTGTAGGTGCTTGAGAGGGGATGGGGTGGGGGAGCCTAAAGTAGATTATTCTGGCTCAAGAAAATCTTAGGAGACTTATGTCCTAGTGCTGTGACAATCATCATTCCTCTGTGGTCAACTTACAGAATCCAAAATTCACACTGATCCTGTTTCAGAAACTTCACAACATGCAGATACAGCTCAAAAAAAATTACAGTAGCTCAGTTTTTCAAAATTGCAAGCAACTAGGTCATGCTCTTCCGAAGTGCATGCTCTGAAGATCCTAAATACCTGCGGCAGGTCCAAAACAAGGCAAAAATCAAAACATTTTATGTTCACCTGTATCGAGGGATTCTGAGATTCTGGATTTCCACCTGGATGCACTTTTCCTCTAAACTCCTGGATGATTGGCAAATGAATCGACTTTGTCAGAAAGTTGTCTGGCTCCAGCTATCCTCCTAGTTGCACCAGGTAGGAGACAGAGGTGATCAAATCCAAACAGAACAGTTCTTGTCCCAGTGGAAAGCTGATGGATTCCTCCCGTGTCTTTATGCAACGGCATAGCCTGCCTGGTGTGGCACCTTCTTCGTCAATGTCTTAAGAACGACTTTGCTTCTAAGCAATCTTCACAGATGAGTCCTGGAGGCAGTAAACTAGCCAGCAGATAAAAGAGGTGGGGCCTAAAGTGCAGGTGGTGGGAGAGAGCAGAGATTTTGAGTGGAAGATGGAATAGCTTTGTTTGAGGTTCAGCTGCTGCTACCGTATGCTGCTATGGTAAACTGTGATGTTCTGTGTATCTGTTTAGAACTTCTTCTTTTTAAGCTTTTTCTTTCTGAGAGAAGTTGAAAAAGGATTGATTGAACCATGCCAACTAAAATGTTTTTGCTGGTTTTAGTCCTCCTTTGATCCTTAAGTGCTTCTTTGTGTGCCTGTTTTGTTCCTTTAACACCCGCCCCCCCCCCCCCCCCCCGCCCCCCCTGCCCCCCCCCCAGTCCATTTGTTGACTGCTGTTCACAATGCTTCCAAGAGGTGCAGGACTTAGGAAGAGACTTAGCTATTGCTTTAGATGGAACAGAACAGCACAGAATTATAGAGTTGGAAGGGACCTGGTAGGTCATCTAGTCCAAATCCTCACCCAAGCAGGAGATCCTACACCATTCCTGACAAATGGGAGTCTGAAAGCCTCCCGTGATGAAGCTCCCACAACTTCCGAAGGCAATTTCTGTTCCATTGGTTGATAGTTCTCACTGACAGAAATTTTCTCCTTATTTCTAGGTTGAATCTCTCTTTGTTCAGTTTCCATCCACTGTTCCTTGTCTGGCCTTCAGGTGCTTTAGAAAATAGGCTGACCCCCTCCTCTCTGTGGCAGCCCTTTAAATATTGGAAGACTGCTAGGATGTCTTCCCTGGTCCTTCTCTTCACTAGACTAGCCATGCCCAGTTCCTATAACCATTTTTCATATGTTTTAGCCTCCAGTCCCCTAATCATCTTTGTTGCTCTTTCTACACTCTCTCTAGAGTCTCAGCATCTTTTTTTATAGTGTGGTGACCATAACTGGATGTAGCAAGATGGAGGTTAGGAGATATATGTAGAATATTCTCCCAAATAACCCAACACCTTTGCTTCTCACCTGACCAAGTAGATGCTTTCAGAAAACCCATTAGTAGGAGCAGTTGAAGTGGAATACTGGCTGGGGAATTTTGGGAGTTAACTCCACAGAGCTTAAATTTTCACAGGTTGAGATACACTGATTTAAACTACCATGGATCAATCTTGAGTTAACTTCTGTATCTATAAACAGAAGAAGCCACCCTGGGTCCTCTGCTTGTGATAGTGACTAGCCAGCCAAATTTTTATATTGGGACTTCTGAAGGTGGGCATGAGAGAGACAGTTTGGTGTAGAAACCAGGAGGCTGTGAGTTCTAGTTCTGTCAGTCATTTGCTCTCAGCCCTAGTAAAAAGGCAACGGTAAAGAAAACCTTGCCAAGACTTCACCAGGAAGTCTCCAAGAATCAAATGGATTGTAGGAATCTTTAGAGCTCTTAAGTGCTTTCTGAATGGATTGGCTTCCATATATCTAGCTAGAGGTTTAAAACCCAACACATCTGGATAGCACCATAGAGAAGGCTGCTTGAAGAGAAGGGGCCTTTAGGGGGAGTTTAAATACAATAGGGGTGTTAAGCCTTGTGGAAGTTTAACAAATCTATAGGTAGTCTTTGACTTACAACCACAGGTGACCCTAACTTGCCTGCTGCTAAACAAGATAGTTGTTATGTGACCTGTATCCTGTTTTATGACCATTCTTACCACAGTTGTTAAGTGGATTATTGCAGATGTTAAGTTAGTAGCCTGGTTGTTAAGCGAATCCGACTTCCCCATTGACTTGGCTTGTCAGAAGGTTGCAAAAAGGTGACCCTGGGACATGACCCTGGGACACTGCAGCTGTCATATGCCAGTTGCTGATTTTTGATCACGTTAACAGAATATAAACAGAATAACAGAGTTGGAAGGGAAGGGACCTTGGAGGTCTTCTAATCCAACCCTGTGCTCAAGCAGGAACATGACCATGGGGATGCTGCAAAAGTCATGAGTGTGAAAAAGGATCATATGCCACTTTTTTCATTGTAGTTGTAACTTTGAATGGGCACTGAATGGATGGTTGTAAGCTGAGGACTGCCTGTATTTTGATAGCCTGCTATAAATTTTCTATTTGCAATTTCTGCCGTCTAATGGGATGGGGAGGGAGGCACCTAGAACCAGCTTGCCCATTTCTGTCCAAGTGCAAACCTTTCTCTCTTGGTTCTGATCATTTATTCCTCATTTCTTTGCATTCAGGTCATGCTTATCCGCCCTAACCGATTTCCTCAGAAACAGGCATTGGTCATAAGCAGCTGCGCTCTGGAGTAGCACCTGGGGGTCCTGCTCTGGTCAGCTTTTTCTCCAGAGACTCAGAGGGAGGTTTTCCTAAGCCTTAAGCCTTATAAGAGTACCAATCAGCATTCTTTTTTTCTCTTTTTTAAAATGAACTGTAGAAAATCACAGGCAAAGCTGCCATTAAAAGATTGCGGCTTGCCTCCAACCCTGCTGAAGTTGCCGTAATGAGACCCAACATTTACAATAGAGCAGCCTCTTCTCCAAGCACTTTTATCCTTTTTTTCCCCCACAGAAATTTGCCCTCCATTTTTATTTTTTTCTTGGACTAATGGTGACATTTGAAACAAAGCCTTAGGTAGAAGCCATTTTCTTTTCTTTATGGAACAGTCAGCCACGCTAAAGTACAATTTGCTATGTATTCAAAATATACAGTGATATATATAAACACACACATATGTCTGTGTCTGTGTGTCTGTGTGTGTGTTGCAGGTAAATATGTATGCATATAGCATGTGTATATGTGTGTTATGTATGAGTTTGGGTAGATATACCCTTTCTCTTGAAGAGCAGGCAACAGAATTTCATTTTTAATGTGGGCCTGTGTGTTCACAGTAAAAATAAATGACAATAAAAATTATCTTATATCACTGGTCCTCTAATTGGTTTTATAATATATATATATATATGTGTGTGTGTGTGTGTGTGTGTGTGTGTGTGTGTGTATATATATATTCATAAGTTTTCACGGGTACTTACATGTATGGTATTCAGCTTTGTTCGGGTATTTTCCCATGTCATTATAGTTGTGCTTTTAAAGTTGTAGCAACGTTTCAGCAGAATCTCATCTGCCATCATCAGGCTTCTGTATTATAGAAGCCTGATGATGGCAGATGAGATAATACAGAAGCCTGATGATGGCAGATGAGATTCTGCCGAAACGTTGCTACAACTTTAAAAGCACAACTACAATGACGTGGGAAAATACCCGAACAAAGCTGAATACCATATATATATATATAATACAGAAGTCTGATGATGGCAGATGAGATTCTGCCGAAACGTTGCTACAACTTTAAAAGCACAAACTATAATGATGTGGGAAAATACCCGAACAAAGCTGAATACCATATATATATATTATTGTTTCTTAGTAACAAGGCCATCACGTCAGGAATTAATGAATGAAATGAGAACAAGAGAAAAACATATCTTGAGTGATTATGAAACCAAGTGAAAGGTGGAAAATGTGATAGATTTGAGAGATGAGAGTCTGACTTTATGGAGTGGAATAGATAAACGTCTGCAGGGAAGTGGAGGCGCAGGTGAAATTAAAAATGAAAGGACTTCAATATATGGATTGGTGTCATCTAAGTGATTATGGATACACAACAGCAGAACCCATAACTGGGTGATAATTGTATGTTATTCTCTTGTAAATTGTGATTATGAAAGAAGTAGGGATGAAGTTTTTGAGGGCCAGGGAGTTAGGATGTGAGTAACTGTCTGAAGGGCTCCCTGATTTGGGAAAGAACACAAATGCAGCACCAGATGAAGCTGTGCAAAGGCCTCTCTGGTTACAGCTGCCGTCCCTGCTCACCAAGCAGGAGGTGCGAGTCCAGGAAGACACCCCCCCACAGATTGTGCAACACTCTTTAACGGGGAAATGCAACTCCATCCATGGGTCAGAGAGAACATATCCACAGATCTTGGCAGTCCAAACACCCACAGACATTCAGTCTTAGTAGGATTCTGTCAGAGACAGTTCCTCTCCATCCAAACAGAAAGAAGTATTTTTAGTTGACACTAATCATCTTTGTTGTTCGTCATCTTTGTTGCACTCTTTTCAGAGTCTCAACATCTTTTTTATATTGTGGCAACCAAAACTGGTTGCAGTATTCCAAATGTGATCTTACCAAGGTATTATAAAGCAGTACCAACAGTTCACGTGATCTTGATTTTATCCCTCTGTTAATACAAACTAGGATTGCATTGGCTTTTTTGCATACTGCTGGCTCATATGTAAGTGGTTGTCTTCTAGGGC